GCCTTGGAGTTGCTCTTCTTGAGGAATATCTTTGTGGTGTTCTTGGTATTTCCTGGACTTGAATATTGGCCTGCCTTGCTAGGTTGGGGAAGTTTTCCACTTGGGGGGCTTTTCCACTTGGGAATCTCCTGGTCTGTGGGCAGTAAAAATTCATTTGGAAATGCGGTGATCACTCACCCTCTGCGTTTTTACTGGGAACTGCAATCCAGAGCTGTTGCTATTCAGCCATCTTGATTCTCCCTCCCCGACTATTTTTCTAAATAAGGACCTAAAGGACAGAATTTGGGACTTAATTGGGATTAGCTGGAACCCACATGGCAGGGTGAGGTGTGGAAGGGAAGATGGATAACAGGGAATGAGAGAGAGAAAAAGCAATAATAATCCCAGTGGAGTAGCCCTCTTTGAACTTTATAACATTTCAGTAAGTAGCCCCAGATGAGATTTGCAAATGAGTCATTATAAACTGATATATGCACTACCAGTATCAGTTCATCAGGGAATGAGCAGCAGGTCCAGACATACCTTCATCCTCAAATTTTTTTTAGTAGAGACAGCGTTTCACCATGTTGGCTAGGATGGTCTTGATCTCCTGACCTTGTGATCTGCCTGCCCTGGCCTCCCAAAGTGCTGGGATCATAGGTATGAGCCATCATGCCCAGCCCAGAGCAGAAGTTTAATAGGCGAAAGAAAGAGACTCTCTCTCTCTCTGCTGCAGAGAGGGATCCTCAATGAGTTTTCCAGCCCTTGGTGAAATGCAGGAGGTTTTATAGATGAGCTTGAGGAGGTGGTGTCTGAATTACATAGGGCATGAAAGATTGGTTGGACCGCGTGTGCTATTTGCATAGGGCTCCGAAGAACTGATTTGGGTTAGGTGTGCCATTTGCATAGGGTGAGAAAAGCTAGCTGCCCCCACCCTAATCTTTTATTAAACATAGGGATTCTCTACCTGGCCGGTGCCATGTTGCCTCCCTCTTTACTTATACGTGGTAACAAAGAAAAGGGAAGATGGAACCTCCAAGTTGGATATACCTATACCTGGCTCATAGGTAGCCTTTTTCTTTTTTTTTTTTTTTTTTTTTTTTGAGATGGAGTCTCGCTCTTTTGCCCAGGCTGGAGTACAGTAGCATGATCTTGACTCACTGCAACCTCCACCTCCCAGGTTCAAGCAGTTCTCTGCCTCAGCCGCTGAAGTAGCTGGGATTACAGGTGCCGGCCACCAAGCCCAGCTAATTTTTTTTTTTTTAGTGGAGATGGGGTTTCACCATCTTGGCCAGGCTGGTCTTGAACTCCTGACCTTGTGATCCACCCAAAGTGTTGGGATTACAGGCGTGAGCCACCGCACCCAGCATTTTTTTTTTTTTTTTGAGACAGTCTCACCCTGTCCCCTACGCTAGCGTGCAATGATGTGATCTCCGTTCTCTCTGCACCAGGTAGCCCTTTTCTATTGACGCAGCTGCCGACATTCCCTCATGCAAACTTCCAGCTTGCTTATTTGCATTTGCAGCTCAATTTTTCAGGTTACTTTTAATTAGGGAAAAATAATTTATTGGGCTGCTTTTTGTTAGAAAGGAAGCCCTGCCAAGGACTCTTTTACCCTCAATATCTGCCTGAATAACTTCTTTCTAGCTCCTGCTTCCATGTGGCCAGCCTTTCATTAACTAAACTCTCTGCTGCAATGCTGTGGTCTTTGTGCTGCAGGCAGGAAGAGCCTACCTGGCAGGTACAAAGGTAGTGACATCAGTCGTGTTTTCCTGCCCAGCATCCGTACGTGCTGAGGTGGAAATATACAAAGATGTATAACCCTGCCCACAAATGTCTTCACAGCCTCAATCTATTTTAAGAAGTAACTCCGTCTTACTGAGTCAGCTGATGATAAATACAACTCATGCAAGATTTTCTTTATTATTCTCTGGGATGCCTTCTATCAGTGGTCCTGTTAGGACAGGAGTCCTGATCCAGACTCCAAGAGAGGGTTCTTGGACCTCTCGCAAGAGAGAATTCGGAGAGAGTCCACAGAGTAAAGTGAAAGAAAGTAAAGGAATAAAGAATGGTTATTCCATAGGCAGAGCAGCCCTGAGGGCTACTGGTTGGCTATTTTTATTTTTATATTCTTTGATTATATGCTAACCAAGGGAAGGATTATTCATGAGTTTTCCGAGAAAGGGGTGGGCAATTCTCACAACTGAGGATTCCTCCCCCTTTTAGAGCATAGAGGGTAACTTCCTGTTGTTGCCATGGCATTTGTAAACGGTCATGGCACTGGTGGGAGTGTCTTCTAGCATGCTAATGCATCATAATTAGCATATAATGAGCAGTAAATACGACCAGAGGTCACTTTCGTTGCCATCTTGGTTTTGGTGGGTTTTGGCTGGCTTCTTTACCACATCCTTTCATCATCAAGGTCTTTGTAAACTGTACCTTGTGCCAGTGTCCTGTCTCAACCTGTGACGTAGAATGCCTCTTGGGAATGCAGCCCAGTAGGTCTCATCCTCATTTTACCCAGCCCCTATTCAAGATGGGGTCTTTCTGGTTCAAATGCCTCTGACAGGTCTTTCACACCAACTTTCCCTTGGGAAATCACCCTCCTCTATTGTGATGGAAACAATCCTCAGTGTGAACCAGGCAATTTTGTTGTCCTCCTGGGCTGCAAGGAAGCCTGTATTTCCCAAGTCATTTGCCTGTAGGTGGATCATGAAGTGAGTTCTAACCAATGGGATATAAGCAAAAATGATGAACATGTTTCCAAACCTGTCCTAAAATACCTCTTTCTCTTCCTCTTCTGGTAATGCTGAAGGCCATGTGGTGATGACAGTGGTTTCTGAGAATGGAAGGAGCCAGGGTCATGGTTAGCACTTAGAGAAAAGACACACAGGGAGAGGAGACTCCTGAGCTGGAATTTACATGGTGAAAAGATAAACTGCTAAGTCTAGAATAGACAAAGCTAAACTATGGCGCTAGAAAGCAGAAAACTGGTTATCCCACAATGGATCTAGAATTATTGTGGCAGAGATTGACTGGAAAAACATACAAGGAACTTATGAGATAATGGAAATGTTTTATGTCTTAATTGGGATACTGTTTACATGGGTACATACGTCTAGAAAGTTCATTGTATGGTATCCTTAACTCTGCACAATGTTTTGTCTTTATACCTCAACCAACAAAAATTAAAACAGGCCCGGTGCAGTGGCTCACATCTGTAATCCTAGCACTTTGGGAGGCCAAGGCAGGCAGATCACTTGAGGTCAGGAGTTGAAGACCAGCCTGGCCAGCATAGTGAAATCCCATCTCTACTGAAAATACAAAAAAAAGGAAAAAAAGAAAAAATTAGCTTGGTATAGTGGCACATGCCTGTAATCCCAGCTGCCTTGAAGGCTGAGGCAGGAGAATGGCTTGAACCCAGGATGCAGAGGTTGCAGTGAGCCGAGATCACGCCATTGCACTGCAGCCTGGGCAACAGAGCAAGCCTCCTTCTCAAAAAAAAAAAAAATTAAACAGAAATGGGTACAATAAAACCATTTAAGAGATTCTTTAGTTATCTAGAAAATGGTAGTTGAAAGTAACAGCAGGGGAGCAGAAAGAACCATAATAGTAAGGAAGGAAGACAAAGAGTTAAATATTTCATGTTTTTGGGGTGACCATAAAGCACGCAACTGAGGTTTGAGTAGCAATTGGAAATATATGGATTTGACCTTGAGAGAGAGGTCATTATCACATAGTGACAATGACTTGGGAGTCATTCACGCAGATGAAAAGAGCTGTGAACATAGAAGAAATTGCTTAGGAAGAGATGTAAACTAAAGTAAAATAGAAGGGCTAAAGGACAGTGCCCCAAAGGACTCCAAATACTGAGTTTACTAGAGAGGAAAGGGTTGGCAAAGAACACTGACTGATCATCAGAGAGAGAGTACGACCAGTGATGTGAAAATAGAAAAAAAAAAAAAAAAAGGAAGCCGGCTGCACCAAATGCCCCTGAAAGGCCAGGTAACGAAAAGATGAAAAAAGTTTCTTGGATTTTGTAACAGGAAGGTCATTTTGTGATCATTCAGGATTTGATTAGGTGAAGTGGTAAACAGGAGATGAAAAAATGGACCCAGTGAATATAAACACCCCATCCATGAAAGCTAGGTCTGAAGAAGAGGAAAAAATAATAATCACAGAGTTAAGAGAGAGCTTTTTGTAAAAATAAAAAATCTTTTAAAAAAAGATTTTCAAAGATGCTTACATGTTGATAAAATTAGCCAGGAGCCAGTAGAGACAAGGTTGAATGGACTGAAGATACACATAAGAAATTTTTCTGAGAAGGTGGGAGCAGCTGGCACAGGTAGAGGCTGTGACTTGGATAAAAGGTGGAAGTGGAGAGGAGGACAGGTTGGGTGGGTGTCACTGCAGATAGTTTTATCCCTGGTGGAGGGGTATCGAAGATGTTTCTGCTTGGTGGTGTATGTCTTCCTCGTGAAGTGGGAGACAAGGACATCTCCTGAGGGAGACATGAGGAAAAGAAGGCACAGATTCAAAATACAGAAAGTAGCACTGGGCGTCATGGCTCAAGCCTGTAATCTCAGCACTTTGGGAGGCCTAGGCGGGTGGATCACAAGGTCAGGAGTTCAACACAAGCCTGGCTAAGATGCTGAAACCCCATCTCTCCTAAAAATACAAAAACTAGCTGGGCGTAATGGCGGGTGCCTGTAATCCCAGCTACTCAGAAGGCTGAGGCAGGGAATCGCTTGAACCTGGGTGGCAGAGGTTGCACTGAGCCAAGATCACATGACTGCACTCTAGCCTGGGGGACAGAGTGAGATTCTGTCTCAAAACAACAACAACAAATATATATAGAAAGTAGAATCGCAGCCTATGAAGATAACACAGTAGGATTCTTCCTGGGATGTGTTCAGGGCACAGTGTTTAGCTGAAGTCAGTGACCATAAATTTGTCATGAGAACAACCTGCCAAGTTCTGCCATTTCCTCAGGCGGACTCTGGTTCATGCCCAAGCTAGAGTGGAGAATGGTTGGGTTCATCTATGACGCCGTTTGACAAATAAGAGACAGTGAAAGGACAAAGGGCCAAGGACTGGGCTGTTGGTAAGAGAGTGAATGAAACGATATCCCATGGAATCCAAGGACAGCAGAAAGGGAAGACAGGAGGAAGGAAGCTGTGAGCAGGTGGAAGACAGAGGGGACAGTGACAAGAGCTCCTGGGGCTGCCGGAGCACAGACATAATGCAAGTGTCCGAACAATCAAACCCAACAGGACCGGAGGATTGACAGAGAGTGAGGTGCCTGCATGTGTGTTTCCAGCAAATAGAACGTCTCAGAGAATTAAACAGCCCAGGGTGTCAAAGCTGAGACTGCGTAGAGAATGCATCACAGCACTGAAAGGCTGCTGATGGGGTGATCCACCCTTTAATAGGTATTGAAGTTTTGTTTTGGTTTTTTTTTTTTTTGAGATGGAGTTTCGCTCTGTCACCCAGGCTGGAGTGCAGTGGCGTGATCTTGGCTCACTGCAACCTTTGCCTCCCGGATTCAAGCAATTCTCCTTCCTCAGCCTCCCGAGTAGCTGGGATTACAGGCGCCTGCCACCACGCCCAGCTAATTTTTGTATTTTTAATAGAGACAGGGTTTTACTGTGTTGGCCAGGCTGATCTCGAACTCCAGACCTCGTGATCTGCCCGCCTTGGCCTCCCAAAGTGCTGGGATTACAAGTATGAGCCACTGTGCCTGGCTGGTATTGAGGTAGTAATAACTTCTACTGATGATGAGAGGCATTGTGGAGGGGAAACCTGTGCCATGGTTTGATAGCAAAGTCTCCCATGAATGAGAAGCAGCTGTCCCGAGGTCAGTAGCTAACATCCGGGTGCAGGGTGTGAGATTGGTGTAACCTGACGGCAGAGGACAAAGGAAGGCTGGAGGCTTGAGCAACACATCACCCTCCCCTGCCCTGAAGAATGTGGATAGTGAGATTGCAGAGAAACCTCCACTGAGAGGTCTGAGGACAAAATTATGTCTTAGAAAAGATGAGGGTGTTTTTAAGGCAAAGAGGTGGGAAAGAATGGTCAGCGAAGATGGGAGTTTATTGAACAATACGAGTGCATTTATTGATCACTAAACACACATCTAGAGCTTCAGAGTAGGAGGTTTTGTCGAGGGGAAGGAACAAAGAGGAGGACAAATGCCCCGTGGGACAATGCGTAGTGACAACTGAGCAAAGAAGACAGTGCAATCACTGGATTTCCAGAGCCCCTTTGCACAGTGGCACTGGGCCTTACAAAATCCCAGCCATGGTCTGGAGAGAGGCCAGACACTGGGGCTGGGTCATGAATTCTGATTCCTCATGGTCTAGCACCATGGAGTAATCAAGCAAGAGTCAGAATGCCCTTCACTGTACGGGCTGTCCCTGTCCTTTGGAGTTGGTGCTCTGGATTAAGACAGAGCAGGCAGGAGCTGCAACCTACTATGGCTGCCAGGGTGGCTCTACAGGTACAGCTGACCAGGTTAATTCTGCCCTTGAGCAGTAAACCAATCACTGTGACAGCAGCTTTGGCAAAGAAGAAAACATTTATTCACAAGCCAGCCCAGTCAAGAGGCGGGAGAGCAACTCTCAAATCTGCCTCCTCAAGATAAGGCATAAGGTTATGTGTGGGTTAGCAAAGTGGGATGGTTTAAGGCGTGGCCAGAGGAATTGATAGTCGGGGAGATGAAATTATTAGTGCCCTGCACAAATGTGGTTGGGTTCACGGCACTTCACTGAATGTATGTTTAGAAAATGGTGGCGCTGTAGCCTGGCGCGGTGGCTCACGTTTGTCGTCCCAACACTTTGGGAGGCCAAGGTGGGCGGATCACCTGACATCAGGAGTTCGAGACCAGCCTAGCAATGTGGTGAAACCCATTTCTACTTAAAAAAAAAAAAAAAAAAAAAAAAAAAAAAAAAATAGCCAGGCGTGGTGGTGGGCACTTGTAATCCCATCTACTCGGGAGGGTGAGGCAGGAGAATTGCTTGAACCCGGGAGGTCGAGGTTGCAGTGAGCCGAGATCGCACCACTGCACTCTAGCCTGGGCAGCAAGAGTGAAACTCTGCCTCAGAAAAAGAAAGGAAAGGAAAGGAAAAGGGAAAGGAAAGAGGGAGGGGAGGGAGGTAGGGAGGGAAGGAAGGAAGTGGCGGCATTAGCATATCTGAGGATGGAGTTTCTGTCCTGACATCAAAAAGCCACCTGTTGGGCACTTGCGCAAGCCCAGTTGAAGGGTCAGTAGGTGATTTCAGCTGGTTTGAACTGGACAGGAGCAGCCCCAGATTCCTGAAAAACAACTTAAGTGGCCGTTACCGTGGTGTCATATAAATGTTATCCTTGAGGAAGCCAGTGAGGGTTCAGTTCCAGCGATCTGCATTGTGGCCTTCAGTCACCTGGGGAAAAAAAGTAACAATATGCAAGTGACCAAATCAGGCAGGGCAGGCTGAGTTTGGGGGACCAAGTCAGGTTCACCCCATGATTTCTCAGCAGGAAGATGTGGGCTCAAGGAAACTGAGGGAACTTGGGAGAGAGTTGAGGCACCTGCACAGGGTCCTGGTGGGGTGCGGAGGACAGGCCAGGGGGAGGCTCATGGCCAGAAAACCAAGAGGACAAGAGACGGATGGTGCAGGACATCAAAAGTGGGTACAGGGCTGGGCGTGACGGCTCACACCTGTAATGCCAGCACTTGGGGAGGCCAAGGCAGATGGATCTCAAGGTTGAGATCAAGACCATCCTGACCAATATGGTGAAATCCCATCTCTACTAAAAATACAAAAATTGGCTGGGCATGGTGATGCATGCCTGTAGTCCCAGCTACTTGGGAGGCTGAGGCAGGAGAATCGCTTGAACCCGGGAGGGGGAGGTTGCAGTGAGCTGAGATTGTGCCACTGCACTCCGGGGTGGAGAAAGAGTCCCTAAAAAAAAAAAAAAAAAAAGCAGGCACAGTGGGAGGGAGTGGGCAAGAAAAGTGGTCAGAGTAGAGGATCGGGCTCAGAGCCCTTCTCCCTGCCCCTAGGCAGTTGGGCCTGGGCATGAATTCTCATAGTTCCTCCTTGTTCTCCCAATAGATGGAGTCCTGGATGCAGGTGAGAGATGGTGCAGTCCTGAACTAGCATCCCGTGCTTTCCTCATTGACCGCTGGACTCCGTAATAAAAGGTAAGAGGTGAGGCTGGGTGCAGTGGCTCACACCTGTAATCCCAGCACTTTGGGAGGCTGAGGCAGGTGGACCACTTGAGGCCAGGAGTTCCAAAGGGTCCATGAGATGTGACCAACCAGAGCCCTTCAGGCCAGCTTCAGTATTTGGGTCCAGGCTCCAAGAGACATGAGAGCCTCTGTGCTGGCTCTGTTCTTTGAAGGGAAGACCTCCCAGCTGCTATGGACACCTCACAGGGCAACTGTTTGCTGGGCTTGGGCAGAGCCTGGGCACGTGGGCTGCAGGGTCTGCAGGCACGGGCGTGAGGCCCGGCTTGGTGTGTGATGAAGTCAGTATGAGAATAGCAGGAGGATGGGCTGTGGGCCTGGACATGCTTCATGTTCACTCTTGTCCCAGGTCTCATAAGTGTTAAGGCGAGACTTTTTGTCCCTTTCTTGTGGACGGACCTTATTTGAGTGGTTCACAGTGCTCTGCCATCAGCCTGCAGTGCCAGTGACAGGCAGGTAGGAGCCAGCCCCATGTCCAACACTGCAGTTGCCAGGGAGACCCCAGGACTTGCTGGATTCCTTTTGAAAGACTCACGTATCTCCTTTACCTGCTGGTCACTGTAAGTGTTGGAGGTGGCCATGCTGCCCTTTTGTGTACGTGTTGCCAGGACATGCCGTGCTCCCCAGTGAGTCTACAGCCTCCTGGTAGGCGCCACCCTCACCCCACCGGGGCCTTATCTTATTTTTCTTGCTCTTATTTTCCGTTCACCCAAACACTCTATTTATAAACTGTGGCACTGCGTATATATTTTTATAAGTCACCTCAAATCCTGTTTGGACAGGGCTGGACAGAAAACAAACGGGCTAGGTGCAGTGGCTCAGACCTATAATCCCAGCACTCTGGGAGGCCGAGGTGGGTGAACTGTTTGAGCCCAGGCATTCAAACCCAGCCTGGGCAATATGGTGGATCCCTGTCTCTACAAAAAAACACCAAAAAATTTAAAAATTGCTGAGCATAGTGGTATGCAACTGTAGTCCCAGCTGCTCAGGAGGCTGAAGTGGGAGGATCACTTGAGCCCAAGGGAGGGAGGCTACAGTGAGCCCAAGAACACGCCAGTGCACTGAAGCCTGGGCAACAGGATGGAACCTTGTCTCAAAAAAGAGGGGAGGAGAGAGGGAAAAGAGGAGGAAGGGGGAAAAAAATGACTTCATCAACCCTATGAACCCTATGCCTGGTGGGCCCAAGGCACACACACTCTTCATTCATTGTTCTCAGAATCAATACTGTGCCAGTTATCAGGGTAACCATGGAAACCAAGCATCTGGCCAGCTGGGGTGGGCGGGGCTCCTGGCCAAAGTGCATTCTTGACACTTGCATGAGAGTGTCAGACCAAGCCTTTATATCCTGGTCTCCCACAAGCTTCTGGACTGAGGTTTGGCTAAGGGTCAACACACCTGTCTCTTATCTTTCATGCTGGAGGATTTTCCAGGGTAAACAAGCTGGAAGGAAGCTGAGAGCCCAGAGGGATCACCCACACTCAAGTATATGGTCCCTCCCGATTCCCAGTTTCAAACTGTGGTGTGCAGGTTGATCGTGGGGGCCTCCCCAGGATGGAGTCTGTGAATCTCTGACACTTGGCTTGCCACGCAGCCACAGGCTACATCTTTACTTAGAATTAGAGTCCTGTGGCCTGGACATAGCAGCCTGTGACGTGGAGTGAAAACTCTTGAATTGGTATATTCACCAAACTGAAGCAGAGGGCTCCGTGAATGCTTCTGGAGGGGAAGTCTGGCTGGAGGCCCCAGCCAAGCAGCCACCTCCCCAACATCTCAATACAGACACACCCCTGAAACAACCACATTTTGCTTTATTAGGCGTTCCATGGTAATATAACACAGAGTTCTTAAGGAATAATAAACACGAGACTTGTCTTTTACCATAATTATTTTGCCATTGAGACAGTGGTTACAAAAAAAAAAAGTACTCTTCTGGCTACACACTTTATCAGCTTTAGAACTGAAAGTTCCTCCACTCATGGGTCACAATCACAATTTCAAAGATTAAAAACCATCTATTCTTAAATCCTACACTGTTTTAGAGCATCAAGTCACTGCAGTTACTCAGTTCTGAGACACTGTCGATTTATTTTAGCATTTACATATGACATTCATTTAACAGACACACAAAGCAAGCCAACAGGTAAACATGCTTACACAGCCTGCAGAAATCTTCAGGTTTTAAATTGTTTTTTAAGAAAACAACCAAAACAACCAAAAATCACCATGACCCGGTACAGGAAAAACAGGAAGACCCAAGTGAATACTAGAGCTGCAAGTGTTTCTGAGAATTGAAACAAAAAATTTTTTTCCAACTTTTTCAAATTTCCTCTAAGTGTAGGTGAGAAAAAAGCAAATATATTAAGTCAACCAATTATTTTTTTAAAAGTGCAATTTACCTTTAACAAATAACAACAAAAAAACCTAAAACCCCAACCAGAACCCCAACGGCAAAATGTGTAGAGAGACAAGGGTGGTGATGGAATGACCTACTTGGTGATGTTAATGCTTTACAAAGAGCAGATTTGGTTTGTACAAAAGCTTGCAAACACAACATTGCTTAAGAGAACCTGTAAACACGTTTGGAAGACGATGCAACACAGGTCAGCAAGAACAGGGATGGGCACAAAGGAGCCAGCTAGGGGGACAGGTGACAGAAGAGGAGGGGGGAGGATGGAGATGTGACAGCGCCTGTGGTCTGTCTCTAAGGGGGCCCTGTGGTTAATTTCTCAGGTTTCCTCCCAAAACAGTTCTGATCTGACCTATTGTTCATAAAACAGATTTCTCCTCTTGCAAAGGAGAATGGACTTTAAGTTCCCCAAGGATTGTTTGAGTTTGTAGAGCCTCTATGTAGTGTGTCTTTCGAAATAATTGGACGAGAAGAAAATGTGGTTTTTCCCCAAAAATAAAAAGTTCCCATGTGTTCTAGAATCTCAAAAGATATTTACCCAGGAAACAGCAGGCCCTTGAGTCAGACTCCTGCGAGCTTAGCACTTCTGAACTGGTGACCTTGGTTGGCTCACTTGGTTGGTGGGGTTCGGTGTTTAGGTCTGACCGTGACTTTAGCCAGATATTGCTGCACAGAGGAAAATCTCTCAGGTTCTGCAGCCTCAGCCTTCTACACTTCTGGGCCCTGTCTGCGGTTCCACATGTGGTAGTGTGGGTGAGACAGCATGGCCCATCCCTGCACTTGGCAGGGTCCCAGACTCTAGCACACATCCTCATGATGGCAGGTGGGTAGCACCCAGTCCCACACGGACTGGGATGACAAAGCACTACGCTTGCAATGGCAAAGGTTCAAATTCTTTGGGTGGACCCATTGACCACAATGAAAAGATAACGGGAAGGGGAGGAAAACACTGTCTTCAAGACAAGGGCTGGAGGAAACAGAGAAAGAGACAAACACGAAAATATTCACGAATTAAAGAGCTGGAGGAGAGTGAGAGCACGCAGAAAAACGGTAAAAGAGGGCAAAAGGGAATCCTCAAAAGATTTAATCTGCAGCAAAATCTAGGCCAGTAAAGCAAGCCTGCCCCTTTATCCACAGCTGACCCTGGAGACTACAGAATGGCGATGTGGGCATGTTGGAGCCTCTCAGGACGGACACGGTGAGTTTGCCAACCACCCGGAATGAGCTGGGTGATGACGTAATTGCATCATTAGGATGTCCAGTTCAAACCCCTTGTATTAATATGGAATTAAACGTTCCAATTTAGTATTAAAAAAAAAAAAAAAAGAAGACTCCCCCATCCCCAGCCCCTCCCCAGCCCCATGAAGAAAACTTCTTAAAAATTTTTTAAAAAGGAAAAAAAAAAGGCAGCTCTGGGCAATTCACTTTATCTTCCCTCCCCCCATGAAAAGGAAGATGCTAACGGACTCTAGGAGGTTGAGGGTAAGGAAGACCCTCACTGGGGGCTGCTTTGTTCACATGTCAGAGTGCTGGGTGTGGTTCCGTGTATGAGCTTGGTGGGTAGGCTTGGGTGTGATACTCGAGGTGTGTAGGGAAGTGTGAGCAAAATCAGTAACTCCCGGTGAGAGATGGGGTGCAGAGCCCCAAGGGGGACCCCATGAACTGGCTGCTCCACAGTAACTATCACAGGCTCTTAAAAAAAAAAAAAAAAAAAAAAAGAAGAAGGAAGAAGTCTCAGAATGTCCTCAGGTGTCCCATCCCCGGTCCCCAGTGGACGGCGCAGCCCAGGAGCTCTAGCCCAGGCTGGTGATGTTGGCACGGCCGCCGGGGGGCGCCACAATACGCTGGGTGGTGCGGCGGGGAATGTTGTCATCAATCTGAGCGCCTGGAGGGAGAGGAGGGGAGAGCAGCGGGTGAGGGGCCAGGACACTCACAGAAGCTCCTGCTTGCAGGTAAAATCTCACAGCTCAAGAGGAAATGTGCTAGTTGCATTCTCTGCTTTGGACACAGGGTCTTGCTCTGTTTTCCAGACGGGAGTGCAGTGGCGCCATCACAGCTCACCACAGCCTCCACCTCCCGGGCTTAAGCCATGCTCCCACTCAGCATCCCCCTCGAGAAGCTGGGACCACAACCATGCACCCCCACATCTAGCTAATTTTTTAATTTTTTGTAAAGTGGGGTCTCGGTATATTGCCCAGGCTGGTCTCAAACTCCTGGGGGCTCAGGCAATCCTCCCACCTCTGCCTCCCGAAGTGCTGGGATCACAGGTGTGAGCCACCCTGCCTGGCCTCGCATTCCTGTTCTTCTCTTAAAACCTCACTGCAGTTTAGAGTACAGAAAGGAGATGGAGGCCGGGCATGGTGGCTCATGCCTGGAATCTGATGAACAGCACTTTGGGAGGCTGAGCTGGGCGGATCACTTGACTCTAGGAGTTTGAAAACAGCCTAGGCAACACAGTGAGATCCTATCTCTAACAAAAAATAAAAATAAAAAATTAGTCAGGCATGGTGGTGCAAGCCTGTAGTACCAGCTACAGGGGAGGCTGAGCTGGGAGGATCACTTGAGCACAGGAGGTTGAGGCTGCAGTTAGCTGTGACTGCACCAATGTATTCTAGCCTGGGTGCTCAGTGACACAGTAAGATAGTATTCTATCTCTCAAAATAAAAATTATAAACTTTTCAAAAAGGAGGTGAGCCTCAGGTAGCCAAAGAATGAGAGACTGTATAAAGGCTGCTGTATCTATTACTGGAGAAAGTAAAACTGTATATAAAATATTACTACCTCTCAGACTCTGTCCTGTTCCCTGTTCTGACTAGCCACATTGGCTGTGGCTCTTCCAAGGACACATCCCTCTCTGGCATGCTAGTCCCCTAACCTTACACATACAATCACAAGTAGGAAGAACAATGGCACCTTACATTCAAACAGCCTGGAGGGATCAGATAACACTGACATGATTATACACATTTTACTTAAAACAAACTAAAGTTCATTATTTTTTCATGTTTTGTAAATTGGTAACCCATATATGGTACATAGGTAATTTTCTAAAAACCCATACATCTAACAACAACAAAAATTCTTGGCTGGGTATGGTGGCTCCTGCCTGTAATCCCAGCACCCTGGGAAACTGAGGCAGGTGGATCACAAGGTCAGGAGTTTGAGAACAGCCTGGCCAACATAGTAAAACCCAGTCTCTACTAAAAATACAAAAATTAGCTGGGCGTGGTGGTGTGAGCCTGTAATCCTAGCTACTTGGGAGGCTGAGGCAGGAGAATTGCTTGAACCAGGGAGGCAGGGGTTGCTGTGAGCTGAGATCATGCCACTGCATTCCAGCCTGGGTGACGGAGCAAGACTCAGTCTCAAAAAAAAAAAAAAAATTCTCTCTGATTTAATGAATTCTTTAACAAGCCATAGGAATCTGTGGCCCAGGGAGCTGGAAGAGTGAAATGCTCTAGTCATGGGCCAAATGAAGGATGGGAAGGAAGTTTCAAATAGGGAAATTTAAAAATCTGAACCCTTGGCTGGGTGCGATAGCTCATGCCTGTAATCCCAGCAGTTTGGGAGGTCGTGGTGGGTAGATCACCTAAGGTTAGGAGTTCAAGACCAGCCTAGGCAACATGGTAATAGCCCATCTCTACTAAAATACAAAAATTAGCCAGGCATGTTGGCACATGCCTGTAATCCCAGCTACTTGGAAGGCTGAGGCATGAGAATCACCTGAACCGGGAGGTGGAGGTTGCAGTGAGCTAAGATCACACCATTGCACCCCAGCCTGGGTGACAGAGCAAGACCATATCTCAAAAAAGAAAACACATCTCCAGTGATGTGAGTCCCACTGTATTTCTCCCTTCGAGAGGAACGGGAATATTAGTCACTTCCATTTCTGTGTCCTTTCCAAATGCAGTTGTAGCCTCCCCAGCACCAGTGAGCTGGCCCTGCAGAACTGGGCCCTCCCCAAGCCCCAACCCTACCAGACAAACTGAATCCAGACTGGTGCAGGTTGCGGACAGGTGGGGCCTGCTGCTTGGCAGGAGATGTCTTGGCGGAGGAGGCTGGAGTGACTGTCTTGGGCGTCACAGACACTTCACACACGGGTCCGTCGTACAGGCCACGAGGGACCCCTCTCAGCTCAGCCAGCTGCAAAACACAAGAGTCCCCCCAGCTCAGGCCACAGAGGACACCTCTCTAGAAACCCTCCTGGAAGGAGGATGTGCCTGTGAGCTCTAGGGATGGAGGGTGCTCCCTACAGACAGGTGGACAGGCGTGGTGTGGGGCCAGCTCCCACCCTGCCAGGCCAAAGCTCCCCACAAGGTCCAGTAACTGGTTAACTCTATAAAAACTCCCCTCAAGGAACTTCAACTTTAAACCCTGTAAGAACCCCCTAAACATGCTGTGAGGAGGATCTGGTATCATGTTCAAGATCTGGCCCCAAACTTTCTTTCCAGTCACATTCTCCCTTTAATTCCCTTATAGCTCCATCTCTTTCCTGCCTCACATGCCCTGAATACACTGTACATTTTCTGTGCTCATGACACTCTATCAAATTCCCTCCTCTCCCCTCTTTGACTTGACAAACTCCTACTTAACCTTCAAAGCCCAACTCAAAATGTCCTCTCCCCATGACGCTCTCCCCAGCTGCGGCAGCGGCTTCCTCCTTTTGGCCCTCACTCCACACGCCTCATCATAGCATATACCATGATCAGACTTTGCTAGGGCTGTCTGTGGACACGCCCAACTCCTTTTATTCCTACCAGGAATAAAAAAACTCAGGGTCCCTCTTATTCCTGGAATCCACTGTACTCATCCTAATACTCTGTCTCAAGGTGCTTAATAAAGATCTGTGGCCTTGAACTTAATTCATGAATTAAAAAACAAAAATTCATCAGAACAAAATTACTCACCCTGCTCCTTGCCTTGATACGCTTGTAAACAAAGTCAGGGAAGGGCTTCCGGGGAATGTAGCGTCCAGAGCCTTCGGTGACATGCAGGGTGCCGTCCTCCAGGACAATCTTGCCCTGGCTGATGACCACCAGCGGGGAGCCGCGGCACTCCATGCCTTCAAAGATGTTATACTCGAGAGACTGGGAAGAGGGCACAGTAAACTCGAGAACAGACTCCACGTGGACAAAAGAGAGACCCAGAGACTGGGGTCCTGTCCCGACTGGGCACCCCCAGCACCCCAGGAGGCACTTACTTGTTGTGTCTCCATTTCCCTATCTAGAATATTGAATAACTTTTCCTACCTCTCCAAATTAGAAAAATAATTGAACAGAATAACTGTATGGAAAGGGTGCATGTTTGTCAATGCTACACAAATATAGAGAAAATGATTCCTCCTATTAACAGGGACTGTGTTCCCACCAACTCCACCATTCCAGCTGAATTCCAAAGGCCCTCTCTGACCAAGTTCTAAATTTAATCTAGAAATGAGCCATCCACAAGTAGGTTTTCCCACTGGCTAGCCCGATTTTCCAATCTGTTGGCGGTGTGGTTAAACTGAAGTCCCTAAATGAAAGGATTGTGGTCACTGAAGAGACATGCCTCTGATAAAATGATTGAGGGCTAGTTAATTTCCCGAACAATGGAGCTATCCTTCTGGTTTCAAGTTTTCCAGGGTAAAACAGAGACACATCTGTGTGCCCTCTTGGAAAATATGTGGGGTCTCCATATGGATGTGAGTCTGCGGTTGGTAATGAAGCAACAGAAAACAGGGGTCACTGCACCCTGCCATCAAAAACTACATCCTGCAGCTTCGGCTCGCCCAGGGCTCCTTCCCGGATCCCAAATGCCTCCCGCTTCTTCCTGCCTGCTTGGTTCACGGGGACCAATGGCTGTGGCTGAGTCTGGACTGGAGGATTCATAGGTGGCTCCAACCATAGAAAGCACCCTGGGCTTCTGGGCAAGTTGAGACCAGGTTATCAGCACTCAGGGAGCTGGCCTGTAAACAGGGAACTGTGCTCACGCCATGCAGTGGCTGGTAGCATGGAGCAGCCTCAGCCGACTAAGCAGCCCACAACGGGCATGGAAATGCACAACGCCCCGCATACAATCTTCAGTGAAAACAGCCACGAGGGCTGTCAGTGCATTACTCTGAGTCTCAAAGAAGTCACGGGGAAGCTACCAAAGGAACCCAAAGCAGAGCGGCGCCGGCAGGGAAGTGAAAAGGACTGCATGTGGATTCCCGAGACCCCTGGCTGACAACTGTCTTTCATCAATTCGAATACACTCATCCCTGAAGTCAGAATGTGTCTTACAGCAGCTGGAGCCACGCGGGCACTGCCAGCCTAGACTAAAAACAAGTTCTTCTAGGCGTATATGGATTTCCTTGTGCCACTGGGTTTGGAGACTACCCCACTGAGGGCATTTTATAGTAAATGCTCAGCTCGGCGTTGTTCTGGGCCACACAGGCAGTATGCATTCAGACCACAAGGCTGGACAAGCACGCACTTTCAGTTCAAATTCTTGGGGGAGACATTTTTCCCTCCTGGAGCCCAATGCCAAGGTCGAGGCATGAGGGATTTCCTGCGACCCATCTGCCCAGCAAACGCACTCCCCAGAGATGCCGAAATAAACGCACTCTGGCCCGTGGCAACCCAGTCTCCTCTGAGACTCTTCGTCTTGGGCATGCTTTCTTTCATTGTGATGCATAACCTAATGGAATATCTCAAAATCGACAGCATCTCAGGTACAGTAAAATCCAGAAGTTGTGTGACTCTGGGGAGATCGCTTTAATCCTGCCTCAGCTTTAGTTTCTTCATCTGCTACCCTCCCGACGGGTATGTGAAGATGACAACACAAAACGTCTCATCCCTGGTGGTCTCGGAAATCACCTTTAAAGGGTGTGAGTCATCCTTTAAGGCCTGGATCAAGAACCATCTCTTCCACATCACTCCACAGCTAAGAGTTTATGCCCTGACAATCTCCTCTTGTGCCCTGTTGGATAGCGTATGGGCACAGCCTTGGCCACGGAGACATCTGCCCTGGGTTCACGCCGCAGATATGCTATTCACCAGCTATGTGACTTTAGATGCATCCCTCACACCCCTGAGCCTCGGCCTCCTCATCTGTGAGGGGTAAGTAGGACACCCTTTGCAGGACTGATGCAAAGATCAAATGAAATAACATGAACAAAAACATCTAGCTCGCTACCTGGCTCACAGCAAGCATTTGAAAATGTTCACTCATTCACTGTCTGGCTTTTTGCTGCACTGTGCTAATGCTTGCCAGTCCTACAGGGGCCAAGATGTCATACAGTGCATGTGTTGAGTCTTGTTGCTTATAAATGAGCACCTAGAAGACCTCTGGGGGCCATCTCTCTTTTTTTTTTTTTTTTTTTTTTGAGATGGACTTTCGCTCTTATTGCCCAGGCTGGAATACAGTGGCGCGATCTCAGCTCACTGCAGCCTTTGCCTCTCGGGTTCAAGCAATTCTCCTGCCTCAGGCTCCCGAGTAGCTGGGATTATAGGCACGTGCCACCACGCCCAGCTAACTTTTTTTATTTTTAGTAGGCACAGTGTTTCACCATGTTGGCCAAGCTGGTCTCTAACTCCTGACCTCAGGTGATCCACCCGCCTCAGAGTCCCAAAGTGCTGGGATTACAGACATGAGCCACGGCGCTCAGCTGCTCTCTCTCATTTTTTAAAGATGGAGGAACCAGCCCCATGACTCTCAGTGAGTTAACACTGACAAGTCCAAGGGTCAGATCACAGTTCCCAGATACTCAGAGCCTACTCTTCATCCAACCATGATGCAGAGAGGCTTCATCACTCACCGTGCATAGACATTGTTAACCTGCATCCACACAGGCTCCCTAAAATTACTCATCTGGCCAGATGCCTGGAAAATCCAAGCAAACGCTTAGCAACAGGGCTGTGGATAAGTTAGCTGGATGCTTCAATTAAAGCTAATTAGCTTCATGGTAGGAAACACTATACAATGCAAGGAAAGTCTCCTATTTGCATTTTCCCAGAAGATCAATGCACAGGCATGCTTAGTCCTGGCTCTTTAAAACAGGTGACGATGGAAAAGCACCACTTAGAGTCAACATCTCTTCCATAGGTCACCAGAAGGAAAAAGCAGGGCAGGTTGGGTGAAAATGTCTGGAGGGCAGAATCTGTCTTCCCAAATCTTCATTCCTTCTCACTGCCTCTTCTAGGTTAAGAGCTCCAAATGCAAGCTCCCCAGCTGGGTCGTTTCTGTCTTAAATAAAGAGCCCAGGCAGCCATTTATAGCACCTCTGGCGGAAGCAACCCTGTAAGAGAGGGGAAGCATTTCCCCATCTAAGACCAACCAAGAGGCTGCAGATGCCGTCTGGCAGGGAAGACTGCTAGACATTTTTGGGTTCTAATTCTGGCTCAACCGCAAAATCGCTATGTAACATTAGACTGGTCACTTAAGCTCTCTAAGCCTCCATTTATTTATTTTCCCAAATTGGGATAATAATACCAGTCCCTTTTTTGAGAAGGTCAAATAAAAGACTGAATGAAAATGTGAAGTTGCAGGCACATGAATAGGTGGGTTCAGTGGGCAGGGCCCTAGGACCTCCGACCATAAAACAGCCAGTCGCAACACCCAGGAAGTCATAATCTGAGCTGTGAGAGGGTGCGACCCTAAGGCTGCACTGCCAGGCTGAGCCAGTGAGTGGGGAGGGAGGAGCTTTAAACACAGACTTGAACAGTCTTCTGAGAAGCACCCAGCATCCTGGTACTCACAGGCGGCAGCAGAAGCCAGAGCTGAGCCTGAGCTCACTGCAGCCCAAACACCTCTGTGTGTGCAAATGAGAGATGACTGGGACAGGGCAAACTCCCAGGGTTGTCCTGGAGAAATGCCAGAAACCTGCCCCTGAGCTGTGGTGGTGTGCGGGGGAAGTGTCAGCACTTGCTGGCCTGAGCTGTTTTCAAGATTCAAATGAGTTCCTGACATAAAACGCTTCTGCCTAAGGCCCATTCCTTTTCCAAAGCTCTCCCTTTGTGTATACTCGTTCAGGTTTTTGCCTATACCATACCACTTGTGAAGAATCAGCAGTGTCTAACACCTCTGCTTAAAGCCAGCTGACCTCACAGAATCACAAGACACTTGGAGATCTTGTCTGAACCCCCTCACTCTCAGCTGAGAAGCCTAAGACATTCACATACTTGGCCTGGGTCCTGTTAGCAAGAGAGGACATCTCTAAGCTTTGCAGCCCAGACCCAGAGGCAAGAGATACCCAAAGTTGCAAATCCTAGAACGACAACCTAATGGCTGGGGCGTACTTCTGTTAGGGACAAGTCAGTCAGTCAATTCCTTTAAGATAATAAGAGCGGCTGTCATTCAGGTTGCTGTAGGGACACTGGCCTGAGAAAACAATGGCTTAAGAGGATCAAAGTCCCCAGTGGGCATCTCAGGAGAGGACATCTCACTGTTTCATTGAGGTCCCTTGCACCAAGTATTGCCATGAGAAGTGCTATGCCAAACTATGAAAATGGAACAATGCCTGACTTCTAGAAGCTTTGCACATCCTGGCATCACTTTGGAGGCTCTTAAAAGCCTATAGCTAGAGAGACTGTGGTACTCCAAAGTGATGATAAGAGTTAACAGTCTTATTGACCTCACTAAAGAAAATGAATAACTATTCTTTTCCAAGCAAATTGCAAATCATAACATCCTCAGGAAATGTGCATTCCCATCACAGCGAGTTATTTCTAGAAACCCCGGGGCTCTCCCTCTGTCTGTCTCTCTGTGACTGTAATTCGTTCTAATGGGGTCTGCATGGTTAACAGGTCTTACGCTGTTGTGCGTCTTGGCAGAGATGGTTTTCACGCTGTCAGGGTCCCAGATGACCAGGTCGGCATCGGATCCCACAGCAATGCGGCCTTTCCGGGGATAAAGGTTGAAGACTTTGGCTGCATTGGTGCTGGTCACAGCCACAAACTGGTTCTCATCCATCTTCCCAGTGACCTGAGGGAGACAGCACAGGGTGAGCACACCAGGCACACAGCAAAAACGAGTTACAAAGTTACTTTGCAATAAAACGATACACACAACAGCTTAGATGGATGTCAAGGATATTGTGCCAAGTGAAACACAGTCTCAAAGGTCACACTCTCTATGACTCCATTTCCATAACGTTCTCCAAATAACAAAATGGTAGAGAGGGAGAACAGATGAGGGGCTAGATGGGTTCTTCCAGGGTTAGGGAGGGTGCAGAGGAGGAAAGCAAGAGGGAGGTCTCTGAGGTGCTGGACTAGACCTGCATCTTGATGGTGGCGGTGTCACATGACCCCACAGGTGGCCACAGAGCCTAGGGCTATGCCCACGCATTCTGCCACTGCCAGTGTCCTGGTTTTGATATCATACTACAATTACAGAAGACATGAACATGGGGGAAGCAGGGTGAAGGGTGCCCAGGACCTCTCTGTGCTGTCTTAGCAACTTCTTCTTAATCTATAATTATTTCAAAACAAAAAAAAAATTCATTTAATTTGCAGGGGTGGCAATGTCTCTTTAGGAAATATCATTTGGCCCAATTGGCTGTCCTTTTCAACAAAATGCAGCCACAAATCTAGCCTGCCTTTTTTTTTTTTTTTTTTTGGAGACAGGGTCTTACTGTCACTGAGGCTGGAGTGCAGTGAAGTGATCACAGCTCAGGGCAGCCTCGACCTCTGAGGCTCAAGCAATTATTTTGCTTCAGCTTCTCGAGTAGCAGGAAAGACAGGCATGTATCACCATACTAGGCTAAGTTTTTTTTCTATTTTAGAGATGGGATCTCACAATGTTGCCCAGCTGGTCTTAAAGTCCTGAGTTCAAGCAATCGTCCCACCTCACTCTCCCAAAGTGCTGGGATTCCAGGCGTGAGCCACCATGCCTAGCCAGATGTCACCTGCTAGCCTAGCCAACCTAGAAGTCTCAGCCCCACATCTGGTTTTAGGTACCAGTCACATTTTATCAAGTGCTTCCCCTCCCAAACCCACTCTAAATCCAGAAAATAAAAAAATCTGGGCAAAGGAAATGAACTGGCATTAAGAAGGAGAAAAATGTACAAACGGCCAATACGCATATGAAAAACTTTTCACTCTAATCAGTAATTGATGAAATTAAATTTAAAACAATGAGACACAAAATTAACCTATTAAATCAA